TTTTTTGAGGTATTATCGATTTCAGAAGGGACTAAGAATTTAAAAAAAGAATTTATTTGCTTTGAGGCAAACATTTTTTTAAGTGCTGTTTACAGTTTGAGAGTTGAATTGAATCACTTTTTTTTAAGAGAACCTTTATTTCCATCCTTGGAGGTTAAAGCGATGGCCATCATTTTATTTGCACTAAAACTTATGTTCGGATTGGATGACGATCGAGAGTACAATATGAGAGCCGCAGTTCGACTTTATCAGTATTTTGAGATTTTTAATGTGCTTTTCTTCTTCAATGTTTAGCGAACTAATAATGTGTTTACTTTAGTCATCTGGAAAGAATGTTTTTGAATTTTCTACGTGGCTGCACCAGCTAACGATGCGTATGAAAGTTTGGGGTGGTCGAGGCCTTTTAGAAGTTATTGGAAAGAGGTATTCAAAGACTTATTGTTAGTAGTACTTTCTTTTTGACATTCTATCATTAGTAGAGTAAATATGAAAGATCCCTTAAGATTTGCATTGTATTTACCATTGTTTTTTTTCCAATTATGCCCGAATTTCACGATTATCCTTAGAATTCCGCGTAGCTATTTTTCACCTAGTAGTTGTTTACAAAAATAATGCAACTTGCTCATTAGGGTTTTTTCAGATACAGACCTTTTGGAGATGAAGATGATTTCGAAACAGGTGTTCCACAGTCAGCTAAATGTTTTGATTTCCCTCATGAAATTTTAAGAAAGCCAACGAGTGAACAACGTGAATTATTCGCATTTAAGGTCTCGTTAATATCGCTCTTTTTCAAAATTGTTGTAGCTTCCTTATGATTCTACCAGTTGCTGTCACTTTTCTAGGGGTGTATTCCCAATCGTGATATCAAGCAAGAAAAAGAGTACTCTTTTTATAAAATTTTTGCTGACGATTTGGAACCTAAACCTTCAAGATTTCTGGACTTGGAAGCTTTAATTGGTACGTCGTTTGAAATCTTGACCGGTGAAGTGTTAGCGATTCACCACTGCAACTTTTGAGAAAGTATAAGCGAATATCAGACAAGGCTCAAGAATTAAAGTTTCCAAGCAGAGTGAATGATTTTCACATTTAAAAGTGTTCCAGCTGGCCAAGTGAACGTACAAAGCTTTCATTCGTGCTGGTTAACCTACCCTAAAACTAATTCAGGCTTTCTAGACTTGCATAGATCGCATTATAGCAAAAACCCTTCTGCTTTGTAATGATTCATGAGTCTAAGTTGAGCAAATGTAGAAGTGCCATTTGGACTAATGAGGTGAATTTTACCCTTTGAATAAGAGCTCTTTTTTTAGTGCCGTTAAGGTTTCAAGCGACTAGGAACTTGGAATGGTATGAGGAGTTCTGTGAAGGCAGTTGTCCAAATGAGGATGATGTTGACAGGTAACATTGGTCCTTTAACAAACAACTGCTTTTTTCTAGACTTTTTACGAGGTTTTCATCTTGGGTGGTGAAATTTGAAAAGTAATATCGAGTAAATTACTGCTCATTTCATAGTTTGCTGTTCTGCATATGCTTTTACACCACTCACTAAAAGGAGAGGATTTAAGACCCCGAGCTACTTTTTTTAAATGAGCAGACGTAGTGCGTTGTGGAACTCGTATATATTATGGATGGTGGCTGGGGTTTAACTGGATGAAAAACGAAGGGTTCTTTCAGGTACAATGCTGAAGTTTACTTCAAGTCATTTGAAAACTGTGAAATGAATTTTGGAGAAATGAAGTTGGCTGCTACAGATGCTGAACGAAAACAGTGCGTCTCAAATGAGGTTTAATTTTTTCCGCTTTGACGGCTTTTTGGTCAATTTCCTTAAATTACAGGTCACTTGGAGTTTTAAAAAAGTGCATACGCTAGTGTTTTCTTGACACCACTTCTCCTTTTACTCATTTTAGAAAGGATCTGATTCAGAGGAAGAAATAAATGAATGGCGTAATCTATTTCCATCGTCCACTTGCTATGTTGTAAGTCTAATTTTGTTCAGCTGTTTAGTTGCTCGAATTAATCTGTCTTTCTATATTACATTTTCTGAAATTGCTTCCTGCTGTCAAAAAGTGAGTTTTATCAGTGGGTTTGTTTTTTTTTTTTTTTTTGAATTTTTAGTTAAATTCGTTTCCGCCGTCCGCCAGCTATAAGTCGCGCGACAAAACTCTTTTTAGTTGTCACATTTTCTCAGAATTAATAAAATATGTTTTCATAGGATTAACGAAATATTTCAGTGTTATCCCCGTCCGACTTATTCCACCAATCTTTGTCGTATTAGCACAGAAGAGCCGAATGTCATAGAACCATGCATTTATTTAAGCGGTAATCGCTCACAGTTGGTTTCTTTCCATATCTGTGAGGTGTTCTTTTCTCTACAATATTGAATTTGGAAACTCTAAGAAGGATAGCAACACTGACTTGGAAACACACACTATTGTTACCAAGGCAATGCATTTTTAATTTTCCAGCGTCAAAGAATATCCTGAATAACGCACAGTCGAGTTTCAGTGAGACATTTGAATGCCTTCTTCAGACATTTGCTAGTATTATAGGAGAAGAGAAAAGTGTATTATATGCCTTCTACCTCATGTTGGAGATGCAGTTCTTAGATCCAGAAACGTAAGTTCACCTGTTATACACAGTGTCAGTAAATAATAACTAAGATACATGTCATTTAATTATTGCCGTGCCTACTCAGGCCTTAATATGCTAGCTATGGACTGTTCCAATTAATAACTTATTTTACTTTGAAACCATCCACTTAATGGTCTTTGTTAGGCTTGAAGAACTTGACGTCCGCGTCAGAGAAAGTGAGAGCGTCACACTCCTCAGTGTTAACTCTTCGCCTTCCAGAGGGGTTGTCAATCGCTTATTGAGATTAAAAAGCTATAACAAAGACTGCGCTGAAGTTTATTCACGCTTCATAGTGGCAAGTTTTTCTATTATTGCTGGCCGCTGTTGTTTGGGAGAACAATTAAATGAGGTTGTAGTCATCTTTTCAGGTTGATTCACGTGAAACCTCCAAAACTCATACAAGTGTTTCCTTCCCGCGGCTCTCTGTATCTGGGTTTGGCAAAAGGAAAAGTAAGGGGTCCATAATCTTTTCTGTAGATTTCCTTGGCGAAAGTTTAAACTTTACTTACCTCTATTACTGAAATATATTTAGGGGATTCTGCCACTAGCCGATACAGAAAGTCGGTTGTTAACGAAAATTCTTCAAAAAGATGGCATCTCCGTTCGCACACCAGACGTTTGGACGGTCTTCATGATGAAGCAAGTGCAGAAAAATCTTCTAATCAAGAAGTTATATCGATGGACGAAGGTAACTTCTTCGATAACAAGAAAACAGTTAATTAAGGAAGAATTTCATTCACAACTTCAGAAACACTTTGGTCAACCTCACAGGGGAGCACTTCATCGCTTTTTCAATTGCAAAAATTTTGTGCAGAACTGCAGAATTCTTTTGCAGATTTTGATACTTCTGACACAGATTCCTGGTCGCCTAGAATAGCGAATCCTAGGAAAAAAATACCGAATCCCACGAAGACAATACCAAATCTCAGGAAGAAAATACCGAAAAAACAGATAGGAGCCAGGTCCAAGAAAACAGTTAAGTGCTTCAAGCGGGTTGCACTGCCTTAACAAGTAGCATCAGAGCTTTCAAAACTTTGTCTTGGTAAACTAAGAAATATCGTAGAGCACTCTGAATTTAATTCAAATCTTTGAATTTGATTAGATTTTGATGGTAGAGCACCCTTCAGACAACCTTAAAATACAGTTAGGTTAGAAAGACGCTTTCGCTTGTAACTTTCTGCAGTTGGCCGAATTCAGTCCACTAGTGGCTTTGATTGATTACTCACGAGTTTTAAGGCCATCAAGTATTCTTCAAAGAGCTGGTTTGGTCTTTATTCATTTTGGGAACAATGTAAAATTTATAAAATTTTGCAGTTATCCTCAACATTACGTCACAGTCTGGAATTTCAAGTGGCTTTTGCGCTGGTTATATTGAAATATTGGTGATACATGCTTACTGGCGAGTAAAGGCACAATGCGATCACTGATCCAGCTCTACTGCTGCTGAAGTATTGGAATCTATGGGCAAAGAACATCTGGAAAATGTGCAACACTGTCTGGCCCAAACTTTTATAAAGAATCTGCCCCAAACTTCAGTCGGTAACTTAGCCACTCTCCCCAAAATCCCGTAACAATTACATCAAATCCCCCACTGTCAGCGCACTTAACCATCATATTTTAGTTTTGCAAGTCGTAAATCGCCAACGCTGTCTCGTGTCCTTCGACTTGTTATGCACTGATTCCCCAGCTGACTTCTTCCGTGAAGCATTTCGGCATCCACTCGAAAAGTTGGCGAACAGACTGCACAAAAGCGGTTTTCCAGAAAGCGGCGAGTTTCCTCAAAGGAAGTTCTCAAAACAAATATCTCTTGCGAAGAAATATTTGGCATTCAGCGGCGACTGTGGAAGAGACGAAATGAGGCAAGCAAAAACACGTATGCGCGCGGGAGTTCTACGAAATCTTCAAAATCTTTCTACATGCTTTCAAAAAAAAAAAGCGTCATGGTCTAAGTGAACTGAACGTTAGAGAACTAAAGTGGTAATCGTTCAGATTAAATCGCCCATAAGGACATTACAGAATACAATGCATTTATTCCCACTCACTGAAAATAATCTGCAGTGGTATTCACTGCAGTAAGTCAATCAATACTTTACAAATAAACTAAAATCTTCCGTACGATATACAAAGCATGTAGAACGAACTGCACCGGAATTCTCACCAATTTGAAGGCAGAGGAAGAGTCATCAATGTTGCTTTCCTATACAAGACAAGTTCTTACTAAAAATGATGCGCAGACGAGGTTTTGAAGTATTATTAATGGTTAGTTTAGTTCACGGTCAGGGAAATTAGTCAATGAATTTGGGACATAACAACCAGTAGTTTTAAAAGCACACTTCTTAGAACTGAAAGACAACAGCAGTTAAGAATTACATATACATATAAATGAGTGTAATTGAAAGTGACTATGCTAAGGTGAACCCCTGAATATTGTCTAAGCATATAAGCAGGCGCCGTTTCATCTCTTTATGGTCCGACATATTTGGTAAGTCAAGAAGATTAAAACAAGTGTGAGCCACTGGCAAAGAAGCACTGTCGCACGGCTGAATTGTCATCTTGAGTGCAGACATGCCCTGAAATACCGTACATCTTAAAAAAGGGAGAAACGAACAGCTGGAAACATCTGAACGGCTCAATCCCAGTGAAGTTAAAATTACAAACTAGCGCATAAGGATTCTGTCGTATGCGATATACTCACTAACCTGCAAAGGTACCCGAGTTGAACCCATTAAGAATTGCAAAAACTGCTTTCGTTGGTCTAGATTTAACTCAAAAAATACGTCCCAGAAACATAAGATCGCTTCATGTTTAGCGTGATAAACTCCTTTGTAATCAGTATTCTTAAAAGATGATTCGTGAATACTACAGCGCACACGAATACTTGCAGTCAAAACTAAAAGTGAAATCACCTTTCTAAAAATGGTCCAGTCATAATTTTCGTTCCCGATCACCATTTCCATCAGCTCCTGGGGCTGGAAAAATTTTAAAATCTTTGAGTGGATAACTGACTGGAAGCCCTCCTCAAATGACGTTATTTGTGATGCAATTTCGCCGTCGTTTCCCTCTTCCATTTTTTTTGCAACATACAGCTAAATTAGAAAAGATCAAAATCAGAAAACTGCTTTGAGCATAAAGTTTGGATATTTGGCAGGATTAAAGGCTGACTCACACCTTCACATACTCCGCTTTGTTACTCTGTGTAACTGGGAGGTTTGCACCATCTGGTTTCAATTCAACCTCTTTTGACTCTCCAAGGAGAGAAAGGTTTAGAGTAAAAGACAGACCAAACACTTGCTCGAAATCGTCATCTTCATAATCCAAAAGTGCTTGCAGGGATCTATTAAAAAAAAAAATGAACTGCAAAAGAAAAAAAATTAGCTCAACGACTTACCGCCCCTCCGTCGGGCTCAACTCGCTAAGATCGTCAAGTGAGATCGGTTTCTTCAAAATTTTCTTATACAGTGCTAAAGGAAATGGGAAATCCACAAGGACATTGTTGTAAATTGCTAATGCACAAAGCATCCCAGTCAATTTAAAGCTAAGTGAGTCAGACTCTACACCAGAAAACCAAATTAGGTGCGTTTCCTCATACTCCACAAACATGCCGAATCTAAAAACAGAGGTTAAATAAGCCAAAAACAATCAGACAATAAAAGTAACAGAAGACCAGAATGACTGACTTCGGTTGTAAGAGTTCCTGGAATAAAAGCATGAAAAATTCTTTCTTAATACCGCCAGCGTCATCTCCCTCTTCACCAACGAATGTAACCTAAAATGCTGATCATTTGAAAGGAAACTGGCCACTACAGCTGTGACAAAATCACGTGCTGCAAGCTTGAATAAAATATGAAAAACACCTTCAGAGGTTTCTTTAAATCGATATTTTTACACGACAATAAAGCAGCCATGGCGTCATCGACAATGCGATCACGATTAACCCGAATTGTGAAGAAAGGGTCCGGCTGAATCATCATAACAAATGGAAACATAGTCATCTGTCCCGCTGACATCGATATCTAAAATTACACGGTAAGCAACCAACAAATTCCAGATAAGCTTTTTAAAAAAAGCCCAGATAAGAGAAGACAAAGAAAAAGAACTGGCCGAGGATAAGAACATGTTTACCTCCATTTGCACACTAGCTTCCAAATGAAGCAGCATCGACTTCACCTCCGCATTCATTATGAATGGATAATTCGACCAAGAAAACGCCGCTGTATTTTCCTAGAAATACAAACTCCAGTGCTGTTATTTATACTCCACACAAATAACTTACTAAAAAGAAACGTACGTTGTTAAAAGACCACCGGACATAATCATTCGCAATATCAATCTTTTCCCTTAAATTGTTTATGTAAAATTTGTCGAGAGCTATTTTCCCAGCAGAAACATTAATATCGTTCAAAGTAGATAAAACACCACAAAAAGCCATCGCTCCTGCGTCATTCCTGGGCTCCCGGTCTATCAAGGTTTCCAAGGAACTCACAAGAGAAGTAACGAGACGATTAAAGTGCCTCGGTTCTAACATAGTCCACCACTTCGCTATAAAAAAAAGGTCAAAGATTTGACATCAACTAGTATAATATCTTGCAGCAAGCTAAAACAAACAAACAAAACATGACAACACTAAACTAAAAATCGAGAACCTAATATGCGGTAATTTCTCTTGCACAGCAACTGAAGGGCGCGCACAAAGCGTAGGTGGAATGACTTCATGAGCTCATACGACGGTGAAGAAAAAAAGTAAAGTGATGGTATAATAAGAAAAATGCGAATAGCTTCACAAGGCAGTGGCTTGTCCCAAGGTATATCCCAAACACCACATGTATCCAAAGTGTTTACAATCTGCAATTAAAAGTTTAAAATGAATTTTATTTCTGAAAAATGAGGCTTACGCCTCAAAGTAGTGAGCATTAAGCATTTATAAGTAAAACAAGAAAAAAATAAAAATTAATTAGAAAAAACTCATGAACTAGCCTCGAGTCACAAAAAAAAAAAGGAACTTCTTTTTGAAACTCTCACTAATTCGGCATACTGTTCTGCATCTGGATTATCAGCAATTATTCGACTTGCAAGAGCCAACCCATCCATATCTACACAACTATTCGAAGGACCACACCGAAACCTTTTTTCGCCGTGCAGCAAAAAAGAACCATTCAGAGAAGCTAGCGACGAAAACACTGATTCCAACTCCCTAAACAGTAACTCTCAACACATATCTTGCAAATCAGAAAAATAAATATAAGAAAATGTAGCCTATTGCTTGACTTCAAAACAAAATTTGTTACCCAATTATATGAAGTTTTTCACCGGTAGAAAATATTTCACGTACTCGTCGTAAAGAAAGGAATTTTGGAGTTTGCAAAAAGCAACTGGGTCCTGACGATATTTCCTAAAAGTTTCAAGCAGACATTCATTTAGATAATTACAAAATGACATAAAGGAGCTCCACGTTCACATAGATGAGGATGTAAAAGCCTTTATATAAGTATAAATCACATCAATATGCTTCGCCTGGATACAGAAACTTTGGTCCCAGCCGGCAAACACAGATGCAATGTTATTAAGCGAATCAACAGGCCTAGGCGTGATCTGATTGCGTGTATTTCCCGTACCCAACTGGCCACTACTGTTCAAACCAAACGTGTAAAGTTTCCCATCTGCTAAGGCAATAGTGTGACACCTATATTGAAAGCCAAAAACTTTTCCATATTACATTTCTGTTCACAAACTATTGGAAAAAACTATCAACGGATTCCTTGAAATCGATGCAAACGAGAAAAATTAGTAAATTAGAAAATCAAATATAGCCTAAAATACGCTCATTTAACAAGCGCATGTACCTTCCACAAGTTACTTGAGTAACATGAGTCCCTAACATATCGGTAACCGCATTCATTGAGCTGCGACTCTGATATTTTCTTCCATCACCAAGTTGCCCGAAAGAGTCATCACCACAGACGAATAATCGTCCTTCGTAAGTAAGAGCTACTGTATGAAAACCGCCGCATTCAATGTTAACGACATTCAGTTGTAAAGTTTCGATTTCTTTCGGGTAATCACGGACTAAAACGAACACTTACTGAAACCACTTCCTTCCAAAAAAATTTCCGAACATCAGTATGGTAGATAAAAACCTTGATTGTCTGACTGCCCAAGTTGTCCATAATCATTCTTCCCCCACGAGAACACTGCCCCGCTAGCAGACAAAGCAACAAAATGTTCACTACCGGCGCTCACTTAATATCCATATAAATTATAACACTATATTACCACTGAAAATTTGTTGAAACATCACAACCTCCAAACCTTGAACAATCGGTATTGCCATGAAGTATTCAATTTCCTTAGGAACAAATAATACTCGTCCATCGGGTTGTCGTCCCCAAACAAATATGCGTCCACCTAAAAAAGATGGATGTTAGAAACAACACAATGATGGAAACCACTTAACTCTCAATAATTGTGATAGTGTTTTCTGCTCCACAAGCAACTTGCACGGTTTCGGTCAACCTCACACGTCTGAAAAAAAATCCTTAGGAACAAGATGACTGGATCTGAAAAACTGGAAAAGTAAAAAATTAAAAACTTCGAAGCAGACATTCTAAACCCATGATTTTCTCAAAACTAACTTTGGAGTGTCCGAATAGGATGTTTTTTCCGGTAACCCTAACTGCCCAGAAGAATTATTGCCCCAAGCAAAAAGTCTTCCATCATCTGATACAGCCATGCTGTGAGATCTCCCCGCCGCTATCTGAACTATTGTTGTTCCAACAGACAACAGTATTGGACAAATAGTAAAAGAACCTTCTTTAGCTCCACCGCGCCCTAATTCACCATACTCATTGCTTCCACAAGACCACACCTAAAGCACAAAAAATTTTTTTGTTAATATATAAAGAGGAGAATTAATAAAAACGTAAAAATCAAAAAAGAAAAAAATATAGATTAAATTTTACATGAACTTCCCAATACATGGGAAGTTACGTAATAAGCTCACCTACCTTACCGTCATCGGCCAAAAGAAGAGTATGCTTTTCACCAGATGCGACAGCCTTTACTGTCACTCCAGAGGGGCCTGTTGGAGCTCCAATAATCATTCGCGGCGTTTTTACGAAGCTGCCGTCGTCACCATCTGTAGCCAACCTGTGACACAACTGCCCATCACGTCCATAACCAAATGCATAAAGCTGTCGAGCTGACATTTGCTTTCTCATAGAATGTAGCCCTGAAAGCTAACAAAAAACAACCATTATTTTAAAAAAATTCGGCAATGTGAATATCAAGTAAATGCATCATGACCAACTACTGCCAAATTGCAATCAGATATTTCAAGAAAAAAAGCCAAAACTCAAACTAAAAAATTTTGTACGTTGACCTTCAATTTTCCTAAACGTTTTCACAAACAGAATATCTATAAATGTTTCCCCACTAGCACTTCCTTGGATTCTTCTTTTGGCTAATCTCAAAATAAGAAAAAAAAAAAAAACAAAGACCCTTCTGAAACATTTGTGTTAAATAAAAGACTTTTTCAATCTCGCAGCCTCATATGCAGTCTGACACTGAACATACCCACTAACTACCATACTAAATACAAAGAAATTTTTTTGGATGTTTTAAACGAATAGTTAGATGGGCGTTCTAAAAAATCACCTTTTCCATGACCTTTAACCTTAATTTTCGTAAGGATTAATTATTGAAAAACAATTGCCAGTGTCCAAAACTTTACATTTTTAGCCAGATTCTTTTCTTTTTAGTGTTAGGAACCTGGCAACAAAAGTTTTATGCTTCTTCCCGTGTCAATAAAAGCAGCGGTAGGAAAAAACGATTTGGTGAAAAGAATACTGGAAATGCAGAACATGAATGGAAAGATGGTAAGAACAATGGTATATTCCACTGACCATGGTAAAACAATTGAAGTAACATTTCCATATAAATATAAGATTAAACCTGGTAAAACGTTGATGCTAAAAATTGAAAAGGAGACGAAAAAAAAAAA